GTATCATTTTTTTTGCTGATTTCCTGGAACATATTGACCATGATATTCTTGGATCAAGCGGCACAAACACTTTTGATAAACATTTTTACCAATTGATTTTATCATTTAAACTATTCTTCACAAAGGGGGACCTGATCGTGATGATTGACGTAGAACCCCCCCCCGACCCCCACCCCCGGAGGAAATGAACAACAGAAATGTGGGTGAAGGGGACAGCGGATGGTGTGAGATATAAAAATAATAATTTATCAAACGTTCATGAGAGTGGGAGGGTGGGGGAGGGATGGGAAAAAGAGGAGCTGATACCAAAGGCTCAGGTAGAAAGAAAATGTTTTGAAAATGATGATGGTAGCATATGTATAAATGTGCTTGATACAATTGATGTATGGATTGTTATGAGTGGTAAGAGCCTCCAATAAAAAAGAATAATAAAAATAAATAATTCCTCACACAAGCTAAAACCTTTCCCCTTACTCTTTTGGGGTTACAAGCAGTTAAACTTTTACAGGAAACTGAATTTTCTCTTCAGAGCACAAAAAGCAAGAGTTTTTAGGCTAAGCTGCACTTTGGTTCAAATAGAATTTATTTTACATCTGGGACAACCATTTTAGTCATATCTAGTGCCCTGGTCTGGGAGTTCACTTATACATTACCTTTACCTTCTTCAAGCCATTTTACTTCTGGAAATAAAAAAGCAACCCTACATACATTATAGAATAACCTAATCACAAGACAGGCAGTTCCGGGGCCAGCCCCAATCCCAACTAGGTGGACAAGCCCTTCCCCCTCAGAAGAATGCACTTCAGAGGCAGCACCGGGGCTACAGTTTGGGGAGAGGGGCACGTTAGATTAGAGCACACGGGAGAAATGTAGAGCGAGGTGAGGACCTCCTGGCCCACCACGCCTCGAGGACAATATTCCTGCTCAGAGCACACAACGCACAGAAAGGACCATAGGGCCGGCCCCACCATGAGACACGACGTCCCTCACTAAACCATAGC